TTTCTGCTCTCTCTCTCTCTCTCTCTCTGGCCATCACGCCTAAAACTTCCCCCTCTTCCTAAACAACCAAATGTCATGTTGTATCATTTTTTTGATTGGTTGACACGAACGGGCTGTTTTTTTGTTTTGTTTTATTATTTTTTGCTCATAAGCAGAGAGTGCTTGCTGCGCTGTCCTTAGACAGTAAACGTGACGAAACTATTGAGGAAAAAACGCTGCGTATATATTGTTTATCATGACTCTGGTTTTACGAGGCCTATCGACACAATTTAAAAGCTAGCATATATCACCTTATTGGTTTGTCATCTTGAAGTGGTCGTGTGATTGGCTTACCACGACTACTTTATTCTTCCTCAGTCAAACAGCAGCACACATGCGATTGTTTTGCCCCCTTAGCTCCAGGTGTTGTGCCAAAAAGTGATCGTCAGGCAGATCGTTGGGCTCCCTGCGGGAGCTGCTTAAAGCTGTTGCCAAGTTCTTGCTCAAAGGCGGTTGTTTGATTGTGGAGTCTTTGCCTTATAATATAAAGCACCTCATGACAACTGCTGTTTTGATTTGGCACTATATAAATAAAATTGAATGGAACTCAGTTGAATTGCCTCAGTTGCACGGAAGTAGCAACTGAGGAACTAGCAACTGAACAACTAAGAAGCAGTAAGCTGAAGACAGCTTCAACCATCTGTTTGCTGAAAAATATTTTCTTGTTAGTAACGGTAAAGGCGTAACGATAGGAATAGTAATTAGTTTGATTACTCGTTACTGAAAAAAGTAACGCCGTTACTTGTAACGCCGTTACTTGTAACGCCATTATTCCCATCACTGGTAATTCATGCATGTAAATGAAAGGAAGAAACATTGTTCCATCAGAAATCATGATCAGAAGTCCAATTCCCAGCCACTTTAAGCAAATGAATCACGGTGTGTCTAGTCTGAGCTACAGTGGTATTGAGCATGTACAACTCCTCAAAATAGGAGGTGACATTAACACTCTAGCATACCTCCACCTCTTCAGGCTCTTTTTCACCTGTTCCCTACTCTCACTGCATATCACCATGTCGTCTGCAAACATCATACGCCACAGAAACCCCAGCCAGACCTCATGTGCCAACCTGTCCATCACCACTGCAAACAAGAATAGCCTGTAATCCTATCCCTGTCTTCAACCCATCTGTCACTCCTACCACAAACCTCACCATTGTCTTGTTGCCCTCATTCATTTTCCGCACCACCCTCACATGCTTTTCTGCCACTCTTGACTTCCTCGTGCAGTACCGCATTTCCTCTCCTAGTACCCTATCATATGCCTTCTTTAGACCCACAAAGACACAGTAGACCTCCCTCTGACCTTCTCTGTACTTCCCCATCAACACTCTCTAAGCAAACATCTCATAAGTAGTGTGCTTTCTCAGCATGAAGCCATACCGCTGTCACCTGATTGTCACTTCTTTTTGTAACCTAGCTTCAGACATATTTTTGACTATACCTTCATAGTACCAATTTGATCCCTCTGTAGTTACTACAGCTCTGCATGTCCCTCTTATTTTTAACATTTGCTACCATACACTTCTTTTTTCATAAGCAATAATAGCTTTTAAAACAGTGAATCTAAGACATTTTGTTTAAAAATAGTGTCAACTAATACTTAGGTTTGATGATAACAAAAAAACAAAACAAAAAAACCCAGTGGACTTTTCTTCATTAGAAAAGTCGTGACGTTTCAATTTTATTTTGAAATATCCGAGAGGAAGTGAAAATAGTCCCCGAGCCGGAAGTAGCAAAGTGCGCATGGGCACGACAAAGTGGCCGGCTAGTGGTGGTGTTTTGTTTTTTTCCAAGCTCGGTGAGACTGTAGACGAGACACTAGTTCATCACTTTATCGAACTCGCTTCACACACACGTGGACATCGCTAACTTATTTAACACAACTAAGAACAACAGTCCGAACAATTTGATGACAAAGGTAAGAGGGTCATGTTGTTAGCTCGCCCCTTTCACAGCTAACGTTAGCACAGTTTAGCTGGTGTGCAGTAAGCTGGTTTTAGAGATAATGAATGTCATTGTTGTTATCTGTTACTTAACAGGATTTCCAATGTTGAAAATATGACAGCAGCGTCAACTTTGACTTGAACAAGAAATTAGAGGTTGCAACAAAAAGTAAACAAGCATTTCTCTTTCTCTTTTATATGTGGAGCTGCTGTTCTGGTAGATCTCTTATCTTTTGGAGCTAGATTTTTCTGATAAAAATATGTGAAGGCATTTTTAATTCCCATTTTCTGTGGGTGGGCTCCCAGCATATGCATCACATCGCTATATTTTGTCTTTTTATTTAAGATACGCTTTTGATATGTGCTGAATCCTTCATCATTTCTTAGATGTTAATTCTTTTGTCCTTGGATCAGTTATTCACTTGCACTGCTTTTCTCAACTGAATTTATAAAGTTTTTCAGTTTTTGGGATAGAGTACCATGTAATAGTAAATTTGTAACACATTTTACAGTATAAGGTACTTCATTGCTACTTCTTTATATCTATTCACCTTTATAAAATAGGTTTAATGGAAGATGTATTCTGTGCTGGAAATGTAAACGGCATGAAGGTACCTTTATCCATGTAAAATGTGAACTTGCCCTTTTGGAGTAAGATAATCAGAGCAATATAGGAATGGCTCAATACACCAGCACCTCAGTCAGTTCAACTTTGCCTTTGGTGAGTATAGGTCATGTTTGCCCAAAGTGTCTAAACCAGCATTTTCTCTAGCGGGTGATTTCTCAGCCTGAAAAGTCTGGCTCACGACTGAAAATGCTTCTTTTGAATTTGCAAAACTGTAAAGAGTCTTACATGCTTTTCATAGTCAATTTCACGTAAATATGTGTTTTTTGTTCTGTTTTCCTGCCAACACACCCATCAGTCGAAGCAGATGGCTGCTCGTCCCTGAGCCTGGTTGTGCTGGAAGTTTCTTCCTAATAAAAGGCAGTTTTTCCTTCCCACTGTTGCCAAGTTCTTGCTCAAAGGCGGTTGTTTGATTGTGAAGTCTTTGCCTTATAATATAAAGCACCTCATGACAACTGCTGTTTTGATTTGGCACTATATATAAATAAAATTGAATTGAACTGAATATATGAAAATGGAAAAAAAAATTGGATATATGTTTTATTTGTGCCAGTTTTATTTACAATGTTTTTAACTTTTAAAATGTAAATATACAGACTTTCTTTGACTATGTAGGCTGACGATGTCTCCGCCCAGCCTTTTTTTGTGGGCCTGACCTGCAGCATGTGTTGTTTTGTCATTTAAATAGGAGCTCGTGCTCAGCCAGGGGTGTTTTTTGGTTTGTTTGTTTTTTAGCTTGTAAGGAAGTGTGCTGTAAGTAACTTGCTGTAACTCTGTTTTGTTTTGGGTTCATGTTTTGGTCTAATTTTGTTGTGTCTTGTTTACTGTTTTCCTGTTTTCTTTCTTTCTTTTAACTTAAACTCAAAAATTTAAGTGATGCAAACATTTTTTAGTGAGAGGGCATATTTTCAGTTGATTTCCTTTAATTCCTAATCATTATTAACTAGCTTTAGCTGAAAAGTGTTTTGAGATTTCACATGTTATTAAGACAAAACTTGCATTTTAGGACCTCACATTTGTACATTTATGGAATTTATTTTAAGAATTGCTCAGCTGGAGATATTAGTGACGTACTCAACAATGGTCCATGTAGAGTTCAAATGTTCAGTTTGAACATTATTTGTCTGAGATCTGTGTTTTCCTGCCTTTCCTTTTCTTAGTATTTGATAAACAAAAATGTAGATTATACAGTACTGTGCAAAAGACCTGAGTCACCCAATTATACTGTGCTTCCAGGGAGCCATACTTTCTTGTAATTTTTAAAGAATTTGTCTTAAGCAATAGTTCTCCCGGCTTTCTGAAGGTCTTTCAAAGTTTTATGTTTGACATCGGCTGCTTTTTCACTCATTTTCTGTTCAGTCCATGAACCTGGTCATTTTTAGAGAAATGGTTTCTTTTCTTCAGGTACTTAACACTGACCTACGAGTCATTCTAGTCATTCAAAAGGCACCTAACTCAAGGGATTAACTACTGCTGTGTTTACAGAAAGCAGACAACTTGGCAAAGAACCCTTTTTAAATAGTATCTTTAGGTATTTTGTTACCAGCAGCCTGTATGAAAACACATTTTTTTCCCTCTCATTTCTGTAGCTGAATCCAACGATAACATAGTTTGACAAGCGCAGACATGGGCACCGGCAAAATGATTCTGAAATAGTGAAAAGTTGGTATATGTTGGCACAGTGTGCTGTGTGTCCTTAAAAACAAGAACTAAAAAATCAGAGGAAAGGCTTTGAATATCCTGGAGAACTGTTCCTGAAGACTACTAAGCAAATTATAAGAAAACTTGCTAAAGAAAATCCAGGCTGTGTTAAAGTGTGTTAATCTCTTCATGTATCAATAATTCACTTGACCTATTTCCTGTTATCCTTGCATATGAAGAAAATAGGTTTGTTTTTGTTCAGTGTTTGTGATTAAAAACGTTTGGTGAGCGGGAAAAATGTATCTGCATTAAAAAAAACACACAAAACCCCCCACACATTTATCTGACAGACACAGCCACTGCTAAATGTCTGGTGTTTGTTCTGCAGGGGACTGATAGAAGATGTGTGCTGCTGTGTATGTCCTGTCAACGGTAACGGGCTACGTGCTCACCTCTGCCCTGCTGCTAAAATGCCCAAATCTGTTACATCGAAAGAAGCGAGAGACTTTCGTCAGCAAGCACATTTCTCACCGTGGAGGTAGGTCACCAGTTTTCTTTCTTAAGAACAGCCCTTGACTTAAAAGGTAAAAGGTGCCACTTAATCCCAACTTACTTTGCTTCTTTTAGGTCCCACTAACAGCTAGTTACTTACTCATGGGTAAAAACAGGTTTGTTATTCAGGGTTTTGACTGTCACATTCCCCTTCTATGGTTTTGATCCTATAACCATCTATTTGTTACTGGGCAGTAGTTGCAGAAATGAGTTAAAGATAAAAATTAGAAAAACTTACACATGAACCACAAGCAAAATATCAGAACCCCCCCCCCCCCCCCGAGAAGATACTTGTTATGCCCACATCTGGAGTGAAGGCACTCTTTCAGACATGTGTTTCACAGCCAAGCAGGTAAAAAGAAATCTGAGTTTTTATTTTTCCGATTTCAGGGGCAGGTGAAAATCTGGAAAACACTATGATGGCTTTCAAGCAGTGAGTAGAAACTTCAAAGTCATAAGACACAGCTCTTTCTTTGGGATTTGCACTTGTGACTGTGGACGGTGTGTGTCATCTGAGATGTTGTCTTAGTTCTTTTACCCACAATCAAGCTTGTGAATTGGTGCAATATGTACAGTAACTGTTCGTGTAAAAGATAACCTTGTGGTTCTCCTTTCTTTGATTAGTTAATCAGACAAGAGGTGGACTGTTTTATGCATTTATTGAATCTGTGTGCTATATCTGTGTGTGCTATACTGCATGGTTAGGGTCCAAATTTCAATGCTAATGCTTGTGTGCTTGAGATTGCGGCTGAGTCTATATGCGTACTGTGTTTCGGATCGTGCAGCGCTGTGGATGTCGGCACAGATATGCTGGAGCTGGACTGCCACCTGACAAAAGATGAACAGGTAGTGGTTTCACATGATGGCGACTTGCAGAGGACCTGCGGCATCGACACCAACATCTCCGATGTGACCTACGCTGTAAGTTTGAACTGAAGCCACTTTCAAATCTCTTCTCATCATTGATCAAGCGCTGTGCATGTTTAATTCTTTGCATGAAAAAAATTACAAATATAACACTGAATTTTAATTTTACATATATGGCAAAGAGCTCGGTCAGACAGAAGTGTCGTGAACTAATTTTTATTTATTTATTTATTCATTGAGAATTCAAACAAAATTTACATAAATTCAGTCTTGTGTACGCAGTTGTTTTTAAAGTCATTAAAGATTATTCCAGCCTGGAAAAACAACAGTTGAAAGGAATCACTAAAAACCCCAAATCATCATGACACTCATGCTCATCATGATTGGGTTGAAACGTCTGACCACAACTGTGAATGTGGTTTGTGTTTAGACATGATATGAGCTTTGATGGATCATGCGCCTTGATCAGGGGAGGTCAAAAACAAGTCATCTGATTATGTCACGTGATTTAAAAAAACTCTTATCCAGCTACATTCCTTGTGAGTAACTTAGGATTTTGGCTAAGCTCTGCTCTCCTCTTTAAACATTTGGTAGTCTACACATTTAATGCTTATTGGAAAAAAAATGCTTTTGTCTTGCAAAGAAGCCTTACAACATTAAACTGAAGTATTTTTGTGTGTTTGTAGAGGTTCTTGGGTCAGAGATCCCATCTACAAGTTAAATTTTATATTTTGGAACTGAAGATGAGGCTTAGTGGGTTTTAATGGTCTTTGGCCTTGTTGTAGACATAAGCACAGACCTTGGTGTCCAGTAAGGTTAGACTCTTGAAGGAGTAGAACTTATAAATCAGCATAAATATCCAGATACAGTGATCCTAAGAGTATTTCCCACATATGGAATAAATAAAGTACTTCTTATCTTTACTGATCTCATCTAAACAATGATACCAGCCTTCCTGACTGATGGCTGGCTGTTGGCAAATAAAATGAAAAACACCAGTGTCAGTGGTTTATATGGTGTGTTACTTTACAGTATATATAAATCACATCAATCTTTGTTTAAACAAATGAAAAAGAAGGTGGAGGTAAGATTGAAGAAGTTGTCTTATATAAAGAATATTTCTCTGTTTCTCCAGCACAAAAGAGGTAACAAAGAAATCAATATATATTTAAAACAACAAGACACTAAAATATGGGCTTCAGTTATTGGCCAGAGTATTATTTTAAACATTTATTAACATTCTTATTGACTCGTTTTTTATTCTTGTTCTTAAAAAAATCTTTCAGTTAATATGCATGAACAACATTTCTGAAATCCCTACAAAGACAATAAAAAAAAACACCCAGTATACTCAAAGAAATTATTGTCATCATTTGCTTTGATGGAACAGGAAACAGTTGTTCCTGCCATAAATAAAAACACATATATTTTAGTGACTTGTGCAACGGTCAGATTTAAAGGTTTGTCTGCAGAGGATTTTCAGATTTCACAGCTGACTTCGGAAGTCTTAAGTTTGGGAATGGCTGCTCTAGAGAAAACTATATCAGAAATCCTGGATTTATTTTGAGCATGACTGCTTTGTTTCCAGAAGCTCTGAAGTTGTGTCTGTCGTGCTTTCTTTGCAGGAACTCCCTCCATACCTCTGCAGGCTGGGTGTAACCTTTCAGCGAGGTGAGCATCACGTATCCGTCAATTGTGTAATTACCACGAAGCAACGTATTTATTCAATAGGTGACACAAATCGACATTTTAGATTATAACAGTTGACAGCTGACGGGCAGAAAATTACCGCTAAAATCACAAGTGCGCACAACCCGGCGTCTAATCTGAAGCTGATGGTGTTTTTAACCTGTCCTTGTCTGTGCAGAGTGCTTCTGCGAAGGAGGAGAGGACAAACGCATCCCTCTCCTCAGGGATGTGTTTGACGCATTTCCCAACACTCCTGTTAACATTGATATCAAGGTTAACAATGACACGCTCATCAAGAAGGTGTGTGTGTGTTTGTCTGTGTGTGTATCTCCTGTTTTTATTCTTTCAGTTCTCTGACCCCTGACTGAAACTTGCTTTACTGTATTGATGACATGCAGCTTGTGGTTATTTCCTTGTGCAGGAAACAGTGTACAGTTAGCCTTATAGCTTTTTGGACAGTGACACCATTTTTGTAGTGTTGCCTCTGTACGTCACTTTAGTGGATTTTAGATCAAACTGCAGTTTTAATTTGTGTTTTTTGGAAAAATTTGTATTAAAACATTTTAGGAATTGCAGCCATTTTCATACATAGTTGATTTTCAGCGGCTCAAAATGAACTGGACAAACTAACATCATTTTAGATTGTTTTAATACTTCAGTCAGTGACTGCCTGGAGTCCAGAACCCATAAACATCACCAAATGCTGTGTTTTGTCCCTTAAAATGCTCTTCTAGGCCTTTACTGCCTCTGCCTTCAGTTGCTGCCTGTCTGTGGGTCTTCTGTCACTGTTGTCTTTGGTTATTGAAAAACAGGCACCTTTGAGTTGGGATCAGGTCACTGACTTTAAAGAATATCTAATTTCTTTTCATTGAGAAACTCTTGGGTTGCTTTTACAGGATGCTTTACGTCATTATCACTTTGTACTGTGAAACACTAACCGATCAGTTTTGGAGCCTCAGGCTGAATCTGAGAAAAGAGTACATGCCTGTACATTTTACAGTTCATCATGCTGCTACTCTCAGCAGTCACGTCATCAATAAACACCAGTGACACGATTTCACTGGGAGCCATAACACTACCTCCGCCGTCCTTGAGTTGTTCTTTCCTTCTTCATACTTGTTGCAAGTTCACCACTTGGACTCAAATGCAGATTTTGTGTCTCTTGTGGAATCACGAGGGACATCTCATCACCTGTTCACTTACTTTTAGGCTACTGGAGAAGGCAGTGTTTAAAAATGGCTATAATTCCAAACGGTGAACTCTTTCTCCCATAAAGATGAAATTTGGCCTCCCCTGTACACTAATGATGGGTTTTGACACCTATTATGTATTAATAAAAATGTGTTTTGACTTAGAATAATTTCCAGGTTTTTCCAAGATGCACACCCAGTCATTTTGTCCTGGAAGCAGGCCTGCAATGTGACAGAGAAGAGCTTCAAGGATTACTTCTAGTGGGCTTTCAGCGAGTAATGAGTTAATGCAATGCTTTTGTTAAGACTTCTGAATTAGGGCTGAAGTCGCCGCTTCAATCACATCTTGATTTAAAATAAGCTGTGATGACAACTAAAAAAAAGTACCCTTGTCCGAAAATGTATCGACTTAACAGCCTGTTTAAGAAAAAAAAAAGTCCTCCATAGTTACAAAGCCCATGGTGCCTAGGAAAGGAAAGGAAAGTGAAGCATTTCCTAAAGTACGATGGTTAGATAACCAAGACTGAGATATGTTTTTAAGTCCCTTTTATTTGTCTGTCACCACAATCATGCATAAAGTAACAGTACAAACCTGATGAAGAGGGGAGAAAATGTAGACAGAGGAATAACCTGTTCACATCCTGAACTGATCTAATTTAAGAGGACGTTGGCCTTGTTATTGGGACTCTGCCCTCCAAGTGTCCGTCTAGAGACTTTACGAGTTTTGCCGCCGTCTTTTCATCAAAAAACAAATTCTAAGTTTTAAACATTGACAACAGGACAGAGCAAAAGCAAGAGAAAATGTTCTGTTTCATAGTTTCATTGAGTTTTCAATCCTTGCAGGTCTCCGAGCTGGTCGTGAAGTATGACCGAGCGCATCTGACTGTCTGGGGCAACGCCAGCAACCAGATTGTGAGAAAGTGTTACAAAGAGGTACGTTTATATGCTGCTTCACATTACTTTGGTGAAATGTGTGTAGCTATTTATAAAATTTGTTGTTATGAAATTACAGAATTTCATAACAACAAAGGAATAACCTGCTACCAGCAGGCCTACAGGAAAAGTGCTCAATCTGTCCCATATAGCAGTATTTTAAATGCACTGCTTTGTGGAATCACTATTCATCTTTTTGTCATGTTTCTAAAAATGTTCAGACCCTTTGAGGGAGTTTTAGAGGAAACACTTTTATCGTCATAAGCCATCACCATCCTCTTCGGTGAATAAAAATGACTTGGAACTGCTTGTAAGTCTGGTCTGGTTGGTTGTTTTTGCAGAACCCTCATATTCCAGTGTTGTTCAGCTTGCCCAGAGTGTTGCAGCTGTTAGGCCTCTTCTACACTGGCCTCCTGCCCTTTGTTCCAATCAAGGAGCAGTTCCTGGAGATCCCCATGCCCTCCATTATCACCAAGTAAGTGCAATACAAATAAGCTCAAAGGCCACTTTATTAGGTACGCCTGTTAATACAAATATCTAATCATCCAAACACATTACACCAACTGAATGCATGTAGAAATCATCAAGAAGACCTGCTGACATTCGAATAAGTCTCTACGCTCTGGACTGATGACAGTTGAGAGGCTGTTTGGTATTCTGACAGGGCAGTGAGCACACAGGGAGGTGGATTTGCATCCACTACAGTGAACAATTAGAAATGTATTTGAGTTTCCGTCACACACAGTCACACACCCAAATCACTTGCACTTTGTTGTTCATGTAACCAAATACTAGTAATAAGCTCTATGGAGACTTTATTAGGTACACCTGTTCTGATGCAGTGATTTTCTGCCAATTGTGTGACAGTATAACAGTATAACAGTATAAGCAGTATAATGCAAAGCTCAGATTATCTCAAACTTCTTGAACTTGGCAGTTAGTTCTCTGCTCTCAGACGGCCTCCACAGTCATCAGATCTCAGTCCGGCAGAGCGTCTTTGAGATGTGGTGGAACGAAAAATTCTCAGTATGGATGTGCAGCCGACAAATCTGCTGCTGCCATGGGATGCTATCTGAGGGTCGTTTACATGACCTTGTTGAATCTATGACATAAAGAATGAAGGTAGTTCTGAAGGAAACAGGGAGGCCTACCAAATACTAGCAAGGTGTGCCTAATAAAGTGGCCAGGGAATGTGGTACTAAAGAAGTAAAAGGTGCATGTCAGGAACTTTGATAAACAGTTTTCAGGAAAGGGTTAGCTCAGCAGCATGCTTCCACCCTACATGAAACAACAATTCTGATAACGACTGTGTTTAGACTGTTCCCCCCATTCCATACAAGGCCACCTGGGTTGGCTGGAAGACTGTTTACTTAGCCTGGC